TGCTTCTCTAATGTTGGCCTTTCATAATAGAAGGTTAGACTTGGAAAAGTACTAACCCTAGTTAAATCCAAGAGACATCCTCACTGCTTCACTAGTTGGTTATAAAAGACATGCTTCTTAAAATTCTTCTACAAGCTTAAAACCAAACGTTTTAGTCAAGATCTAAATAGTATGGTCAAGGCCATGACAATTGTAGCTTAATCAAAGTCAGTATATTTTATAATAAAAATGGCATGAGAAACATCATTTCAGAAATCTAGTTTCAGATATGTAAGTATAAACGCACAAGAATTTGTGTATGAGAATTTTAATTACAATACTATTTGTAATGGTAAAAAACTGGCAAGAACCTGAACATTCATTAATAAGGGAATGTTTAATTACGTAACATCCATAAAAGACTACTACACAACCACTGAAAGAAGGAACTGGATAATTATACATTGACCTAAGACATCCATGACATATTTTTTAAGTAGGATAAGGGAGTGAATATACAGAGCAATTTAATACCCTCATACATCGCTAGTGAGAGCAATGCTACAGCCACTTTGGAAGTTACTTGCAAAGTTAAACATACACCTTCCCTATGACCCAATTCCTTTCTTTGATATTTATACAAGAGTGTAAAACACATGTAACCATAAAAAGACACGTAAGAATGTTCATAGCTTTATTTATAATACTGAAAAAGTAAAACTATCTGGATGTCCATCAGCATCCAGATATTGTAATATACCTATACAATGGGCTTAGCAATAAAAAAGAATAAACTACCACTATACAACATGAAAGAATCTTATAAATATATTAAGTGAAAGAAGCCAGAAACAAAAGATTAGTTATTAAGTTCTAAAACAGACGAAATCTATTGTGCAGGAAATGAGATGATGGCAGAGATGACTAGAGCGAGTCATGAAGCAAACATTCTGAGCTGATGGTTACATGGGTACATATAATTGTGATAACTCACTGAACTGCTTGCTTATTTATTTATTTATTTATTTATTTATTTATTTATTTATTTTGAGACGGAGTTTCACTCTTGTTACCCAGGCTGGAGTGCAAGGGCGCGATCTCGGCTCACCGCAACCTCCGCCTCCTGGGTTCAGGCAATTCTCCTGCCTCAGCCTCCTCAGTAGCTGGGATTACAGGCACGCGCCACCATGCCCAGCTAATGTTTTTGTATTCTTAGTAGAGACGGGGTTTCACCATGTTGACCAGGATGGTCTCGATCTCTTGACCTCGTGATCCACCCGCCTCGGCCTCCCAAAGTGCTGGGATTACAGGCTTGAGCCACCACGCCTGGCCTGCTTATTTATAATTGGTGCACAGATTATAAATTATACACAAAAAGGTGCAGAAATTGTATGTAAGAGCTTTAAAAGTTGTATTTTATTTCATGCTATGGGTAAAGGAAAAACGAAAAAGTTGTATTTTCTATCTATTAAATGTACACAGAAAAATATACACCAAACTAGTTTCTTGTGGAGTGTGTAGAAATGTTTCTTTTGCATTGTTTGTAAATCTTTTTGAAACAAATCTTTAAAAGAAAAATTAAACTACAGAATAGGACTTTGGTCTCACTTACGTGATTAACAATATTATATTGGACAAATTACATAACCCTCCCAGAAGGAATTTTGAGGGTTAAATAAGTACATATTAATAACAGTGCTTGAAATGCACTGGGTCAGCCAGACGCAGTGGCTCATGAGGTCAGGAGTTCCAGACCTGCATGGCCAAGATGGTGAAATCCTGTCTCTACTAAAAATACAAAAATTAGCCGGGCATTGTGGCAGGTGCCTGTAATCCCAGCTACTCAGAGGCTGAGGCAGAGAACTGCTTAAACCCAGGAGGCAGAGGTTGCAGTGAGCCAAGATTGCAACACTGCACTATAGCCTGGGTGACAAACGGAGAGACTACGTCTTAAAAAAAAAAACAAAAAAAAACACTGGGTATTCAGTAATCTGCAAATTCCCCTATCGCTCTAGAAAACTAGATTATAAAGAAAAATAACAATTTTTAGAAATTTGATTATAAAAATAACACAACTGGACAACTCTAAATGTACTAAAAACTACCAAGTTGTACTTCAAAAGAGTAAATGTTATGGCATGTGAGTTATTTCTCAATAAAGTTATTCAGAAAAGATAACATAACTATAAAGTTTGGCCAACTTGTAAATCAAGTTCTTCCTCTCTATGTGAGCATCTGACAAATTAACTAGGCTAAAAGCTAGCTATGAGCTCTTAATTTAAGAACTGAGAAGAAACAGAAGATTTAGGATGAAATAAAAGGATAACAGAAGTGCTTAACCTGTAATATATTTAAAAAATCACCATTTACAACTTTTTACACTAAGTAAATGTACATATGTAATGCATATGTAAACAAATGAAAAGCTATCTCTAATCTTGAAAAAAATACATCACAAATTATAAAAGTTCATAGAGAATGTTACAGGAAACACCAGTTAAAGACTTCAAAAGACCATTAAATATATTTAGTAATATAAGAGAACATACAGAAACTTACATTAGGTACATCCCTGTTCACAACAGTCTTTAAAATTTCTATCCATTCTGTCAGGTTCTGTTGATTTATCAGTTCCAGTGGTAGTGTATACTAAATAAAAGTCAAGAATTAAAATTTCAAAATCTTTGCTAAAGAAAATCCCATTTCTTTTTACTCTTCACAATACCTACCAAAAGTATTTCATTCAATCCACATTTCCTGCTTTTAGTACACAGACACATTTCTTTGCTTGTTATCTATAATGGTAAACAGTGAGTGGGCATCCCTGCCATATACCCATTTTACTGAGGTATCTTATTTTCACTGTAAGGTATGATATCTATTGCAGACTTCTAATGAACACATTTCAGCAAGTTAAGAAAGATTCTATTCTAGGGTTCTAACAGTTGTTTATTTTCTTCAAAGCAGACATGGTTATTTACTTTTAGAAAATGCTTTATCTGACATCCATAAAGATGGTTACAGGTCTCTATTTTAATGTGATGTAAGGGTTAATTACAAAAATTAAATTCTTACTATTGACCCATTCTTGTATTCCTGGAATAAATCCTCTCTCAGTAGGCCAATAAAATAGATATCCAATTTGGGATTTTAGGACATCTATTTTCACAAGTGAGACGGGGCTATATTTTTATAATAGGGTATGCTAGTCTCAAAGAATGAGCTGATAAAACTATTTTGTCTTACTCTGTATGCCCTATGATAGTTTTCAAAAAGACCTATTATTTAATCCAAAAGTTATGATCCTACCAGTTAGAAAAAATACTGAAAAGACTAGTGTTGGTTCAAATTACTTGAAAGAATCACGTAACAGTCCAACAGAATGGCATTAAGGTACCCTTAGATTCAGAGTGGGAGATACTTGAATGTCTTTAAAGATCTAGCAAAGACATGAAAAATCCAACCAAGCAACAGAGTTGTTGGAAGTTAATCTCAGTGGAAGTGAAATCCTAGATCTTTCTTCCTTTCTTTTTTTGTTTTAGGGACCAGGTCTTGCTCTGTCAGGATGGACTACAGTATAGCCTTGAACTCCTGGCTTCAATCAATCCTCCCACCTCAGCCTCCAGAGTAACTGGGATTACAGGCTTACAGGTGTGAGCCACTGTGCCTGGCTCTGATCAATTTAAATGAGATTTTTAAATGTAATGGTATGACTTGGACCAAAGGTCTTGGTAGATGAGATAAACCCTTCTATGGTACATGGTGCAAAAAGAACCAGAATTTACCTGATTTTTTAAAATCTGCTTTGTAAGTAATTACGTTTCACTGTGAATACTGACCCAACCATTTCTTTAGTGGCTATCTTTTATCCTAGAAAAATTCAGAGCAGCATACAGAAATAATAAAACCCATTACTGTGTGCCAGTAAAGCCCATAGATATAGTTGTTTCTGTGACAAGTTTAGGAATAGGTTTTGAATTTATTGAGACAATCTATGTATATCTTGCATATCAGAGTATGTGTTAGATTTCAACTGTGATCAAGTAATGGGTTTTCAAATTCAAAAATTCTTTTCTTTTTCTTTCTTTCTTTTCTTTTCTTTTTTTTTTTTCTCTGAGACAGTTTTGCTCTGTTTGCCCAGGCTGGAGTGCAATGGTGGGATCTTGGCTCACCGCAGCCTCCGCCTCCCGGGTTCAAGCTATTCTCCTGCCTCTGTCTCCCAAGTAGGCGGGGTTATAGGCATGTGCCACCATGCCTGGCTAATTTTTCTGAATTTTTAGTAGAGATGGGGTTTTCTCCATGTTGGTCAGGCTGGTCTTGAACTCCTAACTTCAGGTGATCCGCCTGCCTCAGCCTCCCAAAGTACTGGTGTTACAGGCGTGAGCCACTGTGCCTGGCCTAGATTCATTAATTCTTGTAAGGTAAAAGATACTTCCTAAAATGACTAATTTGGTTGTAGTAAATAGCTTAAGAGAATTTGACGTTGCTCATTTGCAGTTTAAGATTTATTACGGTTATCTACATATTTGGGGACGTATGCTTGTTTAGACTTATTTTGGCAATTTATATTTTGCTAGAAAATCATCCATTTAATGTAGATTTTCAAAATGTAACTATTATTCAAATGTTGAAATTCTTGTTCATGTTTAATATGGTAAACGGCAGACTAACTTTTTATATATAAAAACTGCTCTGTAGAAATTACCTGAACAAGAGCATAGAAGATCTTGAATATTTGTTTCTGGATGAGGACAGACTGATCAGACTGGTCAGAAAGAAGCTGGATAAAACGATCCTTTAGAACTGGCAGAAAATGCTGCATTGCTGCTACCAATGGACTCCGCTCCTCTGGCTTTTTATACCTTTGAGTAGGAATACAAACTAATTCTGTAAGAATTTATTTCCACAACTTTATATATATATTAAACTATGCATTTATTTATACAAACATAATCTTTTTTTTTTTTTTTTGAGACGGAGTTTCGCTCTTGTTACCCAGGCTGGAGTGCA